CATTATTACTGCTTTTGCAGAGGTGCTCAGAATACAACAGTTTAGAAACATATACGTATAAAGATACACAACATATCCTTCCAAACTGTTCTGTAAATATTTAATTATAATTGCAAAAGTCTTATTCATGGTTTTTGTCTGAAGATTATATAATATATAGTAAATACTCAATTAGCATAACCCTTCATTCTTTATAAATTTAATGAAGTGTACCTAAGAGGACTCCTTGATACTTGAAGTACTTGTACCTCCTCCCATGGGAGACTTAGGTCTCGAGATACTCCCCAGATAGGGAGCCAAGGCCGGGTCACCACTACTTGGAAAAGACCCAGGCCGAGAGAGTACCAGCAAATAATAATAAAAAAAAAAAAAAGTCAGAAAAAAAATTTGACAATAATAAAGAAAATTTGGCACTTTCCAAGAATGTGCAGATTTTAACATTAGTACATTTAAAACAAATGTAGAAATGTATAGGATTGTGTACACACTGCTAGTAACAGTGATATGATAATATATTACCAATTAATATGCAATATATATTATTATTATAATAAAAAAGAAGCGCTAAACCCCAAGGGCTATACAGCGCTGCAGGGCAGGAAGGAAGCAAGGGTATCAGGTGGCAAAAGGGAGAGGGATGAATAGTAGGTTACGTAGAACAGAGGGGCAGTGGATAGTGCAGGGGTAGAGGGTAGCAAGAGATTGAGGTAGAAAGGGCTGAGGGGAGTGCTAAAGGTATCATCATCAGAATTTATGGAGTAAATCAGTTGTTGTCAAAAAGTCAATGAGAGAGCCAGGATTAAAGGAGGATCCATCAGCAAGAAGGTAAGGTAAAGAGAGAGTAGCAGAGCAGAGACGATGTTGGAGGTAAATTCTGCGTGCTCGTTGATAGAGAGGGCAGTCTAACAGCATGTGGCTAACCGATACTGGAACCTGACACTTCTCACAGAAAGGAACAGGGTGCCTCTCCATGAGATACCCATGAGTAAGACGAGTGTGGACAATGCGAAGACGGGAGAGAGTAGTCTCCCAACCTCGACACTGATGACAAGAAGACGGCCAGTAACCTATACGCGGCTTAATAGACGGAAGTTTCTTACCGAGCAGATTAGACCAACGTTGTTGCCAATGAGTGTGAAGGTGGGTAGCTATTACAGCAAAATAGTCCGTAAATGGAACACCTCTGTATGAAAGTGGTAGGTCATGTACTGCTGACTGCGCAGCAGTGTCTGCCTGTTCATTGCCCTGTACGTCAACATGCAACATGACCAGGGACCCAACAAAAAACAATATCTTTATGCTTGGTAGAGATGCAGCGTAGCCAAAGTTGGATACGGAGAACTAGGGGGTGAGTATGCAATATATAATATGTAGTTAATTCTTTAATTATTTGTACATTTACAATGAGTGTAGAGGTCATGGGACTGTATGTGTTACCAGTAATTACTACAAAAAATTATGAACATTGCACTGCACATACATTCACAAATTTGGAATCCTTAATGAATCATTATTATTAATTCACAAAGTGTGCTTGACCCATTTCTCACATAAAATGAATGCCCAAGCACTAACATATGTAGTACTGACTACTCAGTCACCACCAGTTAATAACATCAGCTACACTGTTTAGTTGCCAAAAGTGATACAAAAAGCACATTACTGTGTTATAATTTGCTTTTAGGGGTTAGCTTTTTAAAAATTTGGAAACCCTATTTTCTTCTGTTACGTAATCTATGTAGCACATATCTAGTGTGCATGTGAGTTCTCAGGAATTTAACCCATAGTACCAAGTGAAACAATGGTGTAAAGCAAATAAAAACTGATCTGTTGTATAGCATTCCCCATAACAATTCAGTGTTTAGTATCAATACTGCTAAAAGCTAGTTTCATACTACAAAATCATAATGTACATCATAAGTAGCTACTCTACCTCATCCTAGATGCTAATGTACATGATCATGAGATGCTACTGTGAATGATCATGTAAATGGCTAGTCTAGTCCATCTGAGATGCTTTTTTCACACTAATGCAAAAGGCACGATGCATTCATTTTCAGTAAAAAGTCTCGAAAATTTTAAATGTACATTTTAGAAAGAAAATTTATAATTAATAAAATACTGTATACAAATAAGAATCAGATTATTTAACTTAAGATGATGAACTATACTTTTAATTACTATATGTACTATACTGGAAATTGAAGTACTGTACATGAAATTCAAGCAACAACCAACTGAACTTGTATACGTATTTTTTCTTATTTTTGTTAAATGAGCACAACAAATACATGACGTCCCCATTCTCAATAAATGAATTAAAAAATTACGTAACTGTTAAGTATTACATACAGGAATTACATAATATCAAGATTTACTCTATCCTGTGCATGACAAGTAAAACAAACTATGTAAGTTATGGGTTCAAATCCTCTGTTTGGCGAGTTCCTCATGTCAGGTGAAGTTTTAAAACATGTTATACAAGAACTGTATTTTTGTACTAAATAAAAAAAAATTAAAGGCATATACAAAATAAAAATGAGGAAACAAATATTTGCAAAAAATATGAAAGTAGCTCCATTTCTGTAATTACAAACACATAATTATTCTTCTTTCAACAAACTGCCTGTATCCCACTGAGGCAGGGTGGCCAAAAAAGAAAAACAGAAGTTTCTCTTTTTAACTTTAGTAATGTATACAGGAGAAGGGGTTACTAGCCCCTTGTTCCTGGCATGTTAGTCGCCTCTTACGACACGCATAAATTATATATATAATTACACACAGAAATATCTGTATTTTTTATAGAAATTTTCAGAATACATGTAATATAATGATAAAAATGACTGCATTTACCATGTTTGAAATCTTTGTTCAAACCAAGATTATGAGTATACATGTACACAAAATATGTAACAAACACCCCCCCCATACACACACAACTGAAATATAGTGTCTGTACCTTAATTAACAAAAAAAAAAAAAAAAAAAAAAAAAAAAAAAAAAAAATGTTCACCATAATGGATCATGAAGTTAGAAATATGAACTGCAAGATATGGAAAGGCCATCATTAAAATAGAGTGGTAGGAGAATAATGACTTAAATTTAATAAATGTACTTAAATACAAAATAAGAAAAATATCCGTAAACAGCCTAGGTAGTAGGTTGGTAGACAGCAACCGTCCAGGAAGGTACTACCGTCCTGCCAAGCGAGTGTAAAACGAAAGCCTGTGATTGTTCTACATGATGGTAGGATTGCTGGTGTCTATTTTTCTGTCTCATAAACATGCAAGGTTTCAGGTATGTCTTGCTACTTATACTTACACTTAGGTCACACTACACATACATGTACAAGCATATATATACACACCCTGCCCGGTTTTCTTCTATTTTCTTACTAGTTCTTGTTCTTGTTTATTTCCTCTTACCTCCATGGGGAAGTGGAACAGAATTCTTCCTCTGTAAGCCATGCGTGTTGTAAGAGGCGACTAAAATGCCAGGAGCAAGGGGCTAGTAACCTCTTCTCCTGTACATATTACTAAATGTAAAAGGAGAAACTTGCGTTTTTCCTTTTGGGGCACCCCGCCTCGGTGGGATACGGCCGGTGTGTTGAAAGAAAGAAAAGATCTGCAAACAGAAGCAAGAATATGACATTGTATTCTAAATTACGTATATACACAAAAAAGTAATAGAAAACTATAGAAAGTATTACACAGTACTTAGTTGCCAATAGTGTGACAGATGGACAGTACAGGACCCAAGCGAAGGTATTGGCCAAGGCCTGGTGGCAAAAGCTCTTGCTTCACATGGCGAGGGTCAGGGTTCGATTCCCGGTGAAGGGGTGGAAACATCGGACGTGTTTCCATACACCGGTTGTCCGTGTTCACCCATCAGTGTTAGTCAACTGGTGCGAGTCGCATCCTGGGACAAGATAAGATAAGATAAGATTTCGTTCGGATTTTTAACCCAGGATAACCCAAGAAAGTCAGTGCGTCATCGAGGACTGTCTTAACTTATTTCCATTGGGGTCCTTAATCTTGTCCCCCAGGATGCGACCCACACCAGTCGACTAACACCCAGGTACCTATTTGCTGCTAGGTGAACAGGACAACAGGTGTAAGGAAACGTGTCGAATGTTTCCACCCGCCGGGAATTGAACCCGGGCCCTCCGTGTGTGAAGCGGGAGCTTTAGCCACGAGGCCACCGGGCCACCCGGTGACCTAATTTGACCGAAATGCTCTACATATCATATCACTGAAGTCACCTAGGCCTGTATACCTTGTACATGTACTTGTAGTAAATAGAGTTATTATTATTATTGTATGCTACAACCCCTCAAAATTTCAAAATAATGTCTGATCAATTAAAAATAGGAACAAGAGGCTAGGTCTGATCCTGTAACTACAATTGGGAAAAGAAGGTAGAGTAACACACGCACATCGATAGGAAGAGCAAGAGGCAACAATTCTGTACTAAATAACTGGTGTAGGAAAGCCAATATGAATGAGTGAATTGAGTTTTAACCCTTAAACTGTCCAAACGGATCTATGTTCACATGCGTAGTGCTCAAAAAGTAGATCTACGTTTTTTTTACATATTTTCAATAACAAAAAACGTAAATCAAAGTTTTTTACACGTTTTCAAATGTAAAGGAACAAAAAGAAGATCTACGTTTTTTACATACTTTCAAATGTTGAAAAAACGTAGATCTACGTTTAGACAGTTTAAGGGTTAAGGAGTCAGTGCACAATATAACAACAGGAACTTCAACAATAATTAAAATGTAGATAAAAAGGGTTACTCCTGCAACTACAAAAGCAAGCACAGGTGTGCGTGTGCGCACATATGCACACATGCGTGTGCACACACAAATTATAAAACCATACAACTAAATAAATTTTGTCTGATACATATATATATATATATATATATATATATATATATATATATATATATATATATATATATATATATATATATATATATATATATATATATATATATATATATATATATATATAAGTACAGTTGCAAGTGCTATGCATTAAAGATAATTAACTATCAGTACTGTCTTAACTGACCAAATATGTTTTTAAAAAATCTGATGAAAAAATTTTATTTCACTATTTCAGCATTACAAAAAAGTAGTTTGAATATACATTAATTATCTTTAAACTCTTTTTGAAATCCTATGATCATTAACTTCCAAGCACTGTACAACACAGTGAAGGAAAATCCTGAGGATTAATTTCAACCTATCCAGAATGGATAATACTGTATATATCCATGCACTATAAACAGTGCACTCCCTCTTGCCAGGATCTCAGTAACTGGTATGCTGGATGCATCAGATAAAATCTAAATCCTACTTAGTATTATTTACACATATCCTTAGTTCCATATGACATGGTATAAGGTATTGTAGATACAATTCTTGACACAAAAGAATTACTAAACAAAATCTAAAAAGAATTGAAATCACTATTTTACTACAGTAATGTGAATTTGGTTTCCTATATTTTTTTAAATATAAGGAAGAATCATCTTCTAATTTACATGACTACTGCTCGAAAAGTTACTCTTTCTTATGCACTTGAAACAGTGCAAGACTTTATACACTACTAATGGTAAACTTTGGCAAGTTTTCTTTACCAGCATTCCATGAGCCAACAACTTTAAAAAAAGAAATACCTTACTGGACAGGGAAACATGGTTCACACAACAAAAAAACAAACTGAATATCTAACTTTAATGCTAATCAATGCATCTCAACTAAGTATTAATTTGAGCTGAGAATATTATTTTTAATTAAAATTGCTTAAGTAATAATAAATCAGCCATATGCTAAATCTAGCATGTAATCTTGCCTCATGAGTTAATTATTGGTAATGTTATTTAAAATTCAAGTGTATGTTTTGGTAATAAGCCTACTTACTGACGAGAAAAATATAGTTTCTAATTAGTATTAAAATTGACTACCAAAATTTATTTAAGCCCTCTCAATACACCTTTTTTCATTGTCTACCAATTTTACCATAAACCTTTTTAATCTAAATCTTCCTCTGCTGATACATTTGTATCTGCCTGAACAGTAGACTCATCACGAATGTCATCATTACGTACATTTATCATGTTGATTAAAGTTACACCTGCATCACCATGACTATCTTCACTGTTTCTTCTTGGTGCATCTGGGTTAAGTTTAGGTAGTGTCCCATTATCTACATGTTTACCAATATTATTTACAAGGTTATTGAAGACCTCCGCTCTGTCAGCATACACATGATGGCCTGCCCCCAATATAACCTGTAAACAAATGACTTCGTAAATCATATATAGGTACAGGCTGTACAGGTGGAGTCTTTACGTATGCTCCAATTAGATAATCAAAATCAAGAGAGAATTGGTAACTTACCTGAACATCTACGTAGGAATCCTTTCTCATATATTTGATCTGAAATCCTGGATCATGATCAACCCATGATCTTGATCCATAAATCAATGTCATAGGCATTCCTTTCCTGAGAGAGTCAATGCGCTGGATCATAGGATACTTGGCCCAGCCAAATCCAGCCATTAAGGTGTGGAAGGCCGATTCCCCACTGAAAATGCAAAGCAAATCTCATACATTCATTAAACATTCTAATTCTAGCATAAAATATTTACACACACACACACACACACACACACACACACACACACACACACACACACAAAAAAAAAAAAAAAAAAAAAAAAAAAATATATGATTTATTGTATAATGTAGCAAAATAAGGTGACTAGGAAGGTGTTGTAGGGAAGTAGGGATAGAGTTTATCCCAGGAAGGGTTGGAGAGGGGATAAAAGAGGTTCTGAGAACTAGAGGCTTCAACATCCAACAGGCTTCATGTGAGAACATTAGACTGGAGTGAGTGGAAGGCAGGTGATTTTATGATGTGGTGTGCTGTTGAAGTGTGAATAAGGTTATATTTATAAAGGTATGCTAGGAAACCGGTTAGCTGAACTAGACTCCTGGAGCTGAGAAGTACAGTGCCTCTACTCTAGAGGAGCAAGGAAGTTGCAGTTTGGGGGCTATCTGACATGTGATGCTGCACACTTCAGGCAAGACAGACTAAATGAATAACTATGAGTCTCTTCCTTTTTTTCTGGATCATTACCTTGGGAGATAGCCAGTGTTAAAAAAAATCTGAAAATGTTCTCTTACACTGAACACAAATTCAAAATTGTTAAGAAATCAAAAAAAAAAAATGTAACTTTTTTCATTAAATTTCAAAATGCTGGAAAATAATCTCTTATTGGTGCAAAAATCTGAACTACCTGAAAATATTTCCAAATTGAAGCCAATTTTTTTATTTTTTTTTTACTTTCATTTATTTTTTTTAAATTAAGATAATACTATCTTGTTAGTAAAATATGACAATAGAATTTTTTAGTTAAAAAAAGTTTTTTTTTAGAGAAAAAAAAAATCTTGGAGATTTGTCTCAATTAAATAATTTATTTACTGTATTAGACAGACAGCAAAGAGATAAATTACTGTATTTAAATACTGTATTTGAAGACTAATGTTTAGCTTGAATATGCAGAATGCCAAAAAAGTGGCCAAGGATGTAACAAAAATGTTATCAAATGGTACGTCCACTAAAGTATAAATAACTTAACACTGAGCATGTTGGCTAATTTACATGTTTAAACTAAACACAAATAAGAGACAGGCAAAGGAAACAGATAAAATAATTTTTTTTTTTCACCAAACCGGTCATATCCCACAGAGGCAGGGTGACCTAAAAAGAAAAACAAAAGTTTCTCTTTCCAACTTTAGTAATGTATACAGGAGAAGGGGTTACTAGCCCCTTGCTCCCGGCATGTTAGTAGCCTCTTACGACACGCATGGCTTACAGAGGAAAAATTCTGTTCCACTTCCCCATGGAGATAAGAGGTAATAAACCAGAACAAGAATTAGAAAGAAAATATAAAAAAACCAAGAGGGGTGTGTATATACAGTGGACCCCCGGTTAACGATATTTTTTCATTCCAGAAGTATGTTCAGGTGCCAGTACTGACTGAATTTGTTCCCATAAGGAATATTGTGAAGTAGATTAGTCCATTTCAGACCCCCAAACATACACGTACAAACGCACTTACATAATTGGTCGCATTGGGAGGTGATCGTTATGTGGGGGTCCACTGTATATGCTTGTATGTACACGCAAGTGTAGTGTGACCTAAGTGCAAGTACAGTGGACCCCCGGTTAACGATTTTAATCCGTGCAAGAGGGGTAATTGTTATGCGAAATAATCGCTATGTGAATGAATTTTCCCCATAAGAAATAATGGAAATCAAATTAATCCGTGCAAGACACCCAAAAGTATGAAAAAAAAAATTTTACCACATGAAATATACATTTTCCCACACACAAAGAGAAGGATACATGCACAATAGTAGAGTAGTACATGCACAGTATATATTGTGCATGTACTAGTCTACTAAATGAAGAATAAATGACACTTACCTTTATTGAAGATGCAGCAATGACTGATGAGACACTGTGTCCTGGAGTGCCTTTTCCTCCTGAGTACTGTAGGTCCTGTTTGGCATTTTCTTCCAGAACAGGCCTTATCACACTGTGTATGCCACTACGATTCTTAAATCTCTCAAACCAACCTTTGCTGGCTTTAAATTCACCAATATGAGCACTAGTTCCAGGCATTTTTCCCTGTTCACCTGGGTGTTAGTCGACTTGTGTGGGTTGCATCCTGGGAGACAAGATTAAGGACCCCAATGGAAATAAGTTAGACAGTCTTCGATGACACTGACTTTTTTGGGTTATCCTGGTGGCAAATCCTCTGGGGTTAATTGTTTCTTGGTATTCTCAATAAGCCACACCAACAACGGTGCTACAGCAGCAGCAGCAGCTGACAGTGCAGCAGCAGCAGCAGCTGACAGTGCAGCAGCAGCAGCAGCTGACAGTGCAGCAGCAGCAGCAGCTGACAGTGCAGCAGCAGCAGCAGCAGCTGTACCACCAATAGTAGCGATGGTTGATTGGGGTTTATTATACAACCTGGCCAGCTCGGAGACATGCACTCCACTTTCATACTTATCAATGATCTTTTTCTTCATCTCTATTGTAATTCTCACCCTTATTGCTGTAGGGTTGGCACTAGAAGCTTTCTTGGGGCCCATGGTCACTTATTTTCCAGAAAAAGCACCGAAAACACTGTAATAATACGAAATATTCCGATTGTATGCTTGGATGTTACCGCGGAGGCTGGCTGGTAAACAATGCCACCGGCGGAACATGTGAGCGTGGCTCAGGCTGCACATTGGACGCGTCTCGGACGAAAATCGGTAAGCGGGTTTTTAAGCGGTATGTGAGGCAAAATTTTTGCAATTAAAGTAAGCGGTATGCGAAATAATCGCTATGTGATGCCATCGTTATGCGGGGGTCCACTGTATAAGTAGCAAGATGTACCTGAAATCCTGCATGTTTTTGAGACAGAAAAAAGACATCAGCAATCCTACCATCATGTAAAACAATTACAGGCTTCTGTTTTACACCCACTTGACAAAACAGTAAAACCTTCCTGGGTGGTTGCTGTCTACCAACCTACTACCTAGGTAAAATAAAATTATTATTTTTGAAAGAAAATGCCGAACACTAAAATCGTGATGAATGAGACATTTGTGCAACACTTTGGTATCTTTACTGTGGAAGTATTTTGCCACCCAGTGGTTTCCTCAGTCCAACAGAAAGAGGAATGGTTGAAGATTAGGAGTAGTTTGTGATAATCAGTCCCTCAACTTGGAGTCGATGTGATCAGTCCATCAAGATTGATGGACTGATCACATCAACTCCAGGCTGCCAGGCTGAGGGACTGATTACCTCAAACTCCTGATCTCCAACCATTCTTCTTTGTATTGGACTGATGAAGCCACTGTGTGGCAAAACATCTCCACAATGAAGATACCGAAATATTGCGTAAGTGTCAAATTCATCATCCTGTTGCTTTTCTGAATCATTTATCTACATACCAAAATTATAATTAACTTACGATGGATTCTGAGCATTACAATGGTACAAATAATTGGGGATCACCTCCTCAGTATCAGCTACCATACCAGAGAACTTCCGGCTCAAGTCAGGTCTGGCTTTCTGAAGTAACTTTGGACCTGTAAAAGAAACTACTGTCATGCACGGAAGAGCAAATTTTAGACAAGATATGTGCTAAAAATTACTGATAACAAAAATCTTTATAGTTGAATATTTTTAATTACAAAGAGGCAAGCTTTAAACAATGGTCATATAATTAGATTATGGATTCATTTATGTACCAACACCTTAAAGAAGCAACCTGTGTAAAAGTGAAACACACCATCTATTACATGTATATTTGTTAAATAATATCTTATTTTCCTAGAGCTCTAGGGTAAGCACGTCTTCTCATAAGATTGAACAGCTGAAGCAGATTGTTGAGTAACTTGCACCTAAAAATGGAGAAAGATGACTGATCAAAATACTTACCCCATGGCCCAGCTGTTCTTACAATAAATAGAGGGTTGAAGGGTTGAAGCACAGCCCCAATGGCTTTGACCCAAAAAGGAAATTTGTAGCGCTCAGCTACATCCAGTGGACGCTCGGGGAACCCCCAAGGGTCAGCCAAGATGAGGTGATGAATCCTATATAAATAATCACACTTACATTACAACACTCCAATAAAATTTTTATCTGAAAACAAACATCTTATAGAGGCATTGAGAACAATGTCTAACTTCAGTCTCACCGAAGTCCTACCCTGGCAATCATGTAAATGCATACTACTGAGTATTGTGTATTACTGTATTTTTTTTTTTTTTTTTTAGCATGCAGCCTATCTCCCACCAAGGTATTGAGACCCCCCCCCCAAAAAAAAAAAAAAAAAAAAAAAATCAACATCACTCTTCCAACAGTTTTTTGCCAAAGGTGTGCAGACATCACTTTCAAATGACCCTCTGAACTGTAATATCTCAACCCATGCTTCAGAGTGCAGGCACTGCCCTTACCAGCTTCAGTTTCTCTGAATCCTTTCATAAATGTTGCCTTGCTCATACTCTAACAGAACATCAACTAAAATCCATTTGTTTCCATTCACTCTGGTCTAGTACTCTCATACAAGCCAGTTGAATGCCCAGGCCCCTAACTATCAACCCCCCCCCCACTCCACCCATTCCTCCTACTTCCACCCCAAATTTATACACCACCGTAATTTCTCTCTATCCTATCTAAATGCTCAAAGTACAACAGCAGCAGCTCCACATGGGGTATTGAGGTTAGAATCACATAGAATTCTACATTCGTGAGCATCGTAAAAGGCGTCTAAATGCTTTGAGTAAGCCTTTCTGTATTGATTGCAAAAAATGTCAAGAGTGGAAGAGATGACATTATTAAAAGTTTACTAATAAACAAAAAATTGAATGAAAACATCAAGATCATTAGTCCTTTCAAGTTCTAAGGCCAAAAAAGTACTGTGCATGGTTATAAAATGTACAAGGGCAATAGTAGAACTTTTTTTTTTAAACAAACCCACGATCTCCCATCGAGGCAGGGTGACCCAAAAAAGAAGAAACACTTTCAACTTCATTCACTCTCTCACTGTCTTCCCAGGCACACACCAGTATTACACTTCAGCTGTCCCTCCAAACAGCAAATATCTCCACCCCTCCTTCAGAGTACAGGCACTGTCTTCTCCACCTCCACATTAAAAACATATGAAATAAATTTGGAGTACAGTTTCCTACAAATTTGCCCAGGGTTATGTCCCTAGCAGTCCTGTGAATCAATCTAGAAACTGTGAATATAAAATTAAGTCTGAAAAATAATTTTTTCAGATTTGAGCTAATTTTGTTTTCCTGAACATATCTTAGGAGTGAATGGAGACAAATGGTTTTTGGGAACTGACAAGCTGTTGGAGTGTAAGCAGGATAGCATTTAGTGAAGAGATTCATTTAATTTTGCACATCTACTCTTTATACTGTTTATGTATTTTAATTAGCTAAAGTAATATTTGTTTTCTTAAACTAATTGGGAAATCCCTGCCAGACTTGTTATGCTGTGTACCAATAAGGGTACAGAGTAAGTCTAACTTTCTTAAGCATAATGCTGTTCATGCCTTAAGAATTAGGTAGTAGGTTGGTAGACAGCAACCACCCAGGGAAGTACTACCGTCCTGCCAGATGACTGTGAAACAAAAACCTGTAACTGTTTTGCATGATGGTAGGATTGCTGGTTTCTTTTTCTGTCTCATAAACACGCTAAGATAACAGGGATATCTTGCTACTCCTACTTACACTTTGGTCACACTTCACAGACACGCACATGCATATATATATATACATACATCTAGGTTTTTCTCCTTTTTCTAAATAGCTCTTGTTCTTTTATTTCTTCTATTGTCCATGGGGAAGTGGAAAAGAATCTTTCCTCCGTAAGCCATGCGTGTCGTATGAGGCGACTAAAATGCCGGGAGTAATGGGCTAGTAACCCCTTCTCCTGTATACAATTACTAAAAAAGAGAAGAAGAAAAAACTTTATAAACTGGGTTGCTTAAATGTGCGTGGATGTAGTGCGGATGACAAGAAACAGATGATTGCTGATGTTATGAATGAAAAGAAGTTGGATGTCCTGGCCCTAAGCGAAACAAAGCTGAAGGGGGTAGGAGAGTTTCAGTGGGGGAAATAAATGGGATTAAATCTGGAGTATCTGAGAGAGTTAGAGCAAAGGAAGGGGTAGCAGTAATGTTAAATGATCAGTTATGGAAGGAGAAAAGAGAATATGAATGTGTAAATTCAAGAATTATGTGGATTAAAGTAAAGGTTGGATGCGAGAAGTGGGTCATAATAAGCGTGTATGCACCTGGAGAAGAGAGGAATGCAGAGGAGAGAGAGAGATTTTGGGAGATGTTAAGTGAATGTATAGGAGCCTTTGAACCAAGTGAGAGAGTAATTGTGGTAGGGACTTGAATGCTAAAGTAGGAGAAACTTTTAGAGAGGGTGTGGTAGGTAAGTTTGGGGTGCCAGGTGTAAATGATAATGGGAGCCCTTTGATTGAACTTTGTATAGAAAGGGGTTTAGTTATAGGTAATACATATTTTAAGAAAAAGAGGATAAATAAGTATACACGATATGATGTAGGGCGAAATGACAGTAGTTTGTTGGATTATGTATTGGTAGATAAAAGACTGTTGAGTAGACTTCAGGATGTACATGTTTATAGAGGGGCCACAGATATATCAGATCACTTTCTAGTTGTAGCTACACTGAGAGTAAAAGGTAGATGGGATACAAGGAGAATAGAAGCATCAGGAAGAGAGAGGTGAAGGTTTATAAACTAAAAGAGGAGGCAGTTAGGGTAAGATATAAACAGCTATTGGAGGATAGATGGGCTAATGAGAGCATAGGCAATGGGGTCGAAGAGGTATGGGGTAGGTTTAAAAATGTAGTGTTAGAGTGTTCAGCAGAAGTTTGTGGTTACAGGAAAGTGGGTGCAGGAGGGAAGAGGAGCGATTGGTGGAATGATGATGTAAAGAGAGTAGTAAGGGAGAAAAAGTTAGCATATGAGAAGTTTTTACAAAGTAGAAGTGATGCAAGGAGGGAAGAGTATATGGAGAAAAAGAGAGAAGTTAAGAGAGTGGTGAAGCAATGTAAAAAGAGAGCAAATGAGAGAGTGGGTGAGATGTTATCAACAAATTTTGTTGAAAATAAGAAAAAGTTTTGGAGTGAGATTAACAAGTTAAGAAAGCCTAGAGAACAAATGGATTTGTCAGTTAAAAATAGGAGAGGAGAGTTATTAAATGGAGAGTTAGAGGTATTGGGAAGATGGAAGGAATATTTTGAGGAATTGTTAAATGTTGATGAAGATAGAGAAGCTGTGATTTCGTGTATAGGGCAAGGAGGAATAACATCTTGTAGGAGTGAGGAAGAGCCAGTTGTGAGTGTGGGGGAAGTTCGTGAGGCAGTAGGTAAAATGAAAGGGGGTAAGGCAGCCGGGATTGATGGGATAAAGATAGAAATGTTAAAAGCAGGTGGGGATATAGTTTTGGAGTGGTTGGTGCAATTATTTAATAAATGTATGGAAGAGGGTAAGGTACCTAGGGATTGGCAGAGAGCATGCATAGTTCCTTTGTATAAAGGCAAAGGGGATAAAAGAGAGTGCAAAAATTATAGGGGGATAAGTCTGTTGAGTGTACCTGGTAAAGTGTATGGTAGAGTTATAATTGAAAGAATTAAGAGTAAGACGGAGAATAGGATAGCAGATGAACAAGGAGGCTTTAGGAAAGGTAGGGGGTGTGTGGACCAGGTGTTTACAGTGAAACATATAAGTGAACAGTATTTAGATAAGGCTAAAGAGGTCTTTGTGGCATTTATGGATTTGGAAAAGGCGTATGACAGGGTGGATAGGGGGGCAATGTGGCAGATGTTGCAAGTGTATGGTGTAGGAGGTAGGTTACTGAAAGTAGTGAAGAGTTTTTACGAGGATAGTGAGGCTCAAGTTAGAGTATGTAGGAAAGAGGGAAATTTTTTCCCAGTAAAAGTAGGCCTTAGACAAGGATGTGTGATGTCACCGTGGTTGTTTAATATATTTATAGATGGGGTTGTAAGAGAAGTAAATGCGAGGGTCTTGGCAAGGCGTGGAGTTAAAAGATAAAGAATCACACACACAAGGGGGAGTTGTCACAGCTGCTCTTTGCTGATGACACTGTGCTCTTGGGAGATTCTGAAGAGAAGTTGCAGAGATTGGTGGATGAATTTGGTAGGGTGTGCAAAAGAAGAAAATTAAAGGTGAATACAGGAAAGAGTAAGGTTATGAGGATAACAAAAGATTAGGTGATGAAAGATTGAATATCAGATTGGAGGGAGAGAGTATGGAGGAGGTGAACGTATTCAGATATTTGGGAGTGGACGTTTTCAGCGGATGGGTCTATGAAAGATGAGGTGAATCATAGAATTGATGAGGGAAAAAGAGTGAGTGGTGCACTTAGGAGTCTGTGGAGACAAAGAACTTTGTCCTTGGAGGCAAAGAGGGGAATGTATGAGAGTATAGTTTTACCAACGCTCTTATATGGGTGTGAAGCGTGGTGATGAATGTTGCAGCGAGGAGAGGCTGGAGGCAGTGGAGATGTCATGTCTGAGGGCAATGTGTGGTGTGAATATAATGCAGAGAATTCGTAGTTTGGAAGTTAGGAGGAGGTGCGGGATTACCAAAACTGTTGTCCAGAGGCTGAGGAAGGGTTGTTGAGGTGGTTCGGACATGTAGAGAGAATGGAGCGAAACAGAATAACTTCAAGAGTGTATCAGTCTGTAGTGGAAGGAAGGCGGGGTAGGGTCGGCCTAGGAAGGGTTGGAGGGAGGGGTAAAGGAGGTTTTGTGTGCGAGGGGCTTGGACTTCCAGCAGGCATGCGTGAGCGTGTTTGATAGGAAATGAATGGAGACAAATGGTTTTTAATACTTGACGTGCTGTTGGAGTGTGAGCAAAGTAACATTTATGAAGGGATTCAGGGAAACCGGCAGGCCGGACTTGAGTCCTGGAGATGGGAAGTACAGTGCCTGCACTCTGAAGGAGGGGTGTTAATGTTGCAGTTTAAAAACTGTAGTGTAAAGCACCCTTCTGGCAAGACAGTGATGGAGTGAATGATGGTGAAAGTTTTTCTTTTTCGGGCCACCCTGCCTTGGTGGGAATCGGCCGGTGTGATAATAATAAAAAAAAATATTCAGGGAAACCAGTGATTTTTATATAGCCAGACTTGAGTACTGGAAATGGGAAGTACAATGCCTGTACTTTAAAGGAAGGGTTTGGGATATTGGCAGTTTGGAGGGATACGTTCTATACCTTCATATATGCTTCTAAACTCTTGTATCGGGGCACCTCTGCAAAGACAGTGATTATGTGTGAGAGAGGTTAAAGTGCTGAATGATGATAAAAGTATTTTCTTTTTGGGGATTTTCTTTCTTTTTGGGTCACCCTGCCTTGGTATGGAGACAGCCGACTTGTTGGAAAAAAAAATCTTTTCTTTAATATGTCATGTAATAAGGTTATATTGACATTCATAAAAATTAATGGCTAGAATAAAGGAATTTGGGTGTGGGAATGGAAACGATCCAGAAGAAAAAAAAGATAATAAAATTTATCCACTGGTTGTTCGTTAGTAAAAGTGTTGAATCAAAATTTAATATTAAGAGAGCCTTAGAATATGCAGGAACAGCTTTATAGAGCTGGTAAGAAAAAATACGCTAATGTCAAGAGTGGTGCAGAGTACGATAAAACTGAATTACAATACTGGCAAGGCTATCTGAAGACAATACTTAAGTGAAAATGACAAAACAATGAATGAAGTGATACATTATTTTTTTTTTTTTAACAAAACTGGCCTTATCCCACCAAGGCTGGGTGACTATTATATTATATATTATTATTATTATTATTACGTATTATGTTTGCAAAAAGCACTAAACCAGCAACTGATATACATATGAAGGTATGGACCATCACTAATTCTTTACAATGGGGCATATAACATGAGCATTAATGTTGTTGCTGCAAATGAAATATGAAGCTCCTTATTTAACCCTTTCAGGGTCCAGAGGCTAAATTTCAAAGTGTGCACCAGGGTCCAAGAATTTAAAAAAAAATTTTTTTTTATTTTTTTGTTATGAAATGATAGAGAATCTTTTTCTGAATGTAATAAAAGAAAAAGTATGAAATTTGATGGAAAACTGACAAAATTATGCTCTTGAGAATTTTGATGTGTCAGTGATATTTACGCATCGGCGATTTTGCCAATTTTAACTCCCATTTTATGCCAATTACATTATTCCAGTCGACCAAATTCTTAGCAATTTCACTAGTATTGCTTTCATTCTATTGACTGAGCATAAGAAATCACCACGTCAACTGTTTCAACTACAAAATAAAGTGACCGGAAGATGGTAATTTGGCTAATTTAATGCAAAGTTCAAAATATTCCAGTTTCAAAATAGGGTCCAGAATAAACAATGCAGGCATTCCTGGCACTAAACTAACATTTCCTCTGTTCGTTAGTTATGTTTTGAGTCTTTACAAATGAATTCCATTTTGATAATTTATTCACATAATGAATTTTTATTCAAATAAAAAAAATAGAAGATTTACTGTTATGCAATATTGTAATAATTGTATAAATAATATCACCACATTTGTGAATGTATACTAGACCCACCAGCTGGTGTGTATTAGACGTGTGAGGTCATTTGTTTAATCTTGAACATCGGCAAAAATTTAGCATTTCCTCTATTTTGAGCTCAGTTTCAAGCCATTTCCAGTACTAAAACCAATCAAAATCATCTCTATTTCTGTATTATATCTTTCATTCTATTAAGTGAGGCCAAGAAATTGCAAATACAACTATAAAAAACATACGAAAAACACTGCAGTCACTGTTTTAATAAAAAAATTATGGTTCAGTTTTTTTCTCTCATTATGCACTGTGTATTGCAGGATTTGTTATATGTGGTGCACACATACCACATAAATGTGTTCTCTCATATCTAGGCACAAATTTACCACTCACAGCTTATCAGAGTGAGCTGAGCTCATGGCATAGATCTACAGTTTTTACCCTCAACTCAAAGCCGTAGATCTACGGCACGGACCCTGAAAGGGTTAATTATAAAAAATTCATGTATTCTCCTTCCACTTCAAATATCCTTTTTTTTTTTTCAGTGTCCTATATATTCCACTAAACTTTTATGAAATTAAGAAATTCTTAATCCAGTACAGTATGTTTATAGGTAAAGTGATTATTATTATTATTATTATTATTTTCACTGGGAAACACAAACTTTGTGGGGCCATACAATGCCTAGGGATTGGGAGGCAATCAGGTTTGATCCAAGAAGGGGAGGGTAGCTCAGCAATCACAGACACAAATAGCAACTTACCAAGAATTCTTCTCTCAGAGATATTTCAGAGCTGGATGAGAAATAGTAAAATTATCAGGGCCTTGAGGTTTGCAACAGGCTCTTGATCCAAGGCATTAGAGCTACCCATCCCTTACTTGTATCAAAACCAATTGCCTCCATTTCCTGGGAGCTGTATGATGCCAATGGGTTTAAAGCTCCTCTATGAACATAAAATAAGACAGGTTGCAGGAATGTTTGATCAAGAGTTCTTCAATGGAGGTGAGTGAAAGTAACATTTCTGCAATAGTTTCTCTCAAGCTAATGCTGAGAGACGAGTCTAATACTTACATTACAATTTTACCAATACCATTAAATCTTTCAGTTATGTCTATCTATTTAATATCTTAAAACAAATAAAAGTTGATCAAGTTAACTATGGAACATGTAAAGAAGTGTGTTACCCTTGCAGTCACAGTAATGTTCATTTTCAAGTACTAAATCATGCATCTCACATTAGCAAATCTTTCACTGGAATATCAGTACTAATTATTGCAGCAAATATACAGATAACCTGCATTTAGAAGACCGAAACACATGATATTTTGGTCTGACTTGGACCAGTCACTTCAGTCTCCTAGTGCAAGTTATTTGTGCATTGTTCCAGCCACCATATCGTGCCCTTTTATTCTTTGTGCGGCAAATATTCATGGTTAGCTATTTTTGCATTCAGTTTTCTTTTCTCCTGATATACTACTGTAATGCATTAATAGAAAACAACCTCTATGAAAGAAGTGATTTTTTTTTTAAATAAAAATTTTAATTTTAGTGCACTGCTCAGTTAACCTTGCATTCTTGATTTCTCACCTTTCTGGATGCTTAATAGCATACGAAGCTGCAAGAAAGCCGCCGAAGGAGTGCCCTAGAAGAATAAACTTATCTAAAGCCAACTTCTCCTGCCATAATTCTATTGTTGTGATGAATTCACGCTCAGCCTCTAGTGGATCTTTTGTAAAAGATGGTCGGGAACTGCGACCAAATCCTACAGACAAGAAAAAAGTAGATATTTGAATTCTGAAGAGAAGATAAAATTATAAAAAATTATTATACATACATGTACTAGTATTTAATTAAATTACTATAAATAGAGCATAAAAAATCTATTTAGAGTTCTGTATGTTAAATTTTCTTTAGCATTTGGAGACTGCTGTGATATAGTAATATACAGTGGACCCCCGGTTAACGATATTTTTTCACTCCAGAAGTATGTTCAGGTGCCAGTACTTACCGAATTTGTTCCCATAAGAAATATTGTGAAGTAGATTAGTCCATTTCAGACCCCCAAACATACACATACAAACGCACTTACATAATTGGTCGCATTCGGAGGTAATCGTTATGCGGGGGTCCACTGTACTTCATTGAAACGCTTAAGACAAAAAATGCATATGCACCATAGCAAGCACCAGCATCACTTACCAATAATATCCATTGCATAAACAGGTCTGTCTGCTGAGAGTGAATCCAAATTAAGACACCACAGTCCCACACCAGAGCCAAAGCCATGTAGGAGAACAAGCGGAACATTTTTAGAGTCTCTATTTAAGCTTATTGTCCAAATGTGTGACTCTGCATTGCCCACTGCACACCCGACATTAACGTATTGCCCTCTGTATGAGCTTTTCAAGTCTGTCAAGTAAAAAAATAAGTTTTATTTATAAGGCAATATTATTTTATTTATCTTGGCTAACAAAAATTCAGTATATGCTTCACATTACATAAAATTGTGTTTGAAAGTAAGAGAAATTACAATAACATAATAATCAGAAAAAATATAACTTTCAAAGATACGTACTAGAGAGAAGCGTTTTTTCTGCTTCACGAAGAAGACTCAGCGAAGTGGGACACCATCTTAGCCAGCTACCAAACCAGCTAACATCAGAAGAGGTAATGGACGAAAACATCAATATTAACCCTTAAACGGTCCAAACGTATATATATGTCCATGCGCGTAGCGCCCCAAACGTATATATACGTTTTCTTTGTCATTCATTCAACATTGCCACAATAAGCCTAGACATGAGAGAATGGGTGTGCGCACTCACTGTGTGCCATATTAAAATAATTGGGGATGCTGGGTACCATATGCTCTTTTTTCCTTTTAAAAGAAAAGATTGTTTTTTCCTCAAAAAAGTTGGGGCGCTACGCGACTGAACGTATACATATATACGTTTGGACCGTTTAAGGGTTAAAAGAAATTAAACCATCAAAGATAAATAAAGAGCTTTCTACCCCAATACAATTCCTGTGAAATAAACAACATTTTATATACTGTTATTAACCCCTTGACTGTCGCAACCCCCAATCCTGAGGTGTCTCCTGGTGTCGCAAAAATTTAAAAAAAAAAAAAAAAAATTCTTATGAAATGATAGAGAATCTTTTCCCAATTGTAATGACACCACAAAAAAAAAAAAAAAGAAATTTGATGGAAAACTGATGGAATTACGCTCTCACGAAGTTAGCGACCTCGGCAATATTTACAAATTGGTGATTTCACCCACTTTGAGCCCTATTTTCGGCTAATTCCGTTGTTCCAGTCGACCAAACTCATAGCTATTTCTTTAGAACTCCATTTTTTTTATCGATTGAGTACAAGAAATTGATCATTTACCGATTTCAACTACCCAATAACGTAGTCAGAAATTTGCAATTTGGCCAATTCCACAAAAATTAAAAAAATGACAATTTCAAAATAAGGTCCAGAATAAACAATGCAGACATTCCTGGCTCTAAAATAACATTTTCTTTGTTCATCAGTCATGTCTCCAGGCCCCTCTGATATTACTCTTGCTTTCTATTTTGAATTTTTATTCAAACAAAAAATAGAAGACTTACTATTACGCAGACTACTGCAATACTGTAATAATTGTATAAATAACATCAACCCATTCATAACTGCATATTAGAATGGCTAGTTGGACATTTATTGGACAATGACATCATTTGTTTACTTTTGAACATTGGCAAAAATCAAACATTTCCCCTACTTTGAGCTCCATTTCCAGGTTGTTTTTATAGTAAAATCAATCAAAATCACCTCTATTTCTATAATATGTTTTCCATTCTATCAAATGAGACCAAGAAAACGAGAATACAACCATATATACTATATGAAAATAGACCACAAAGTCTGCATTTTAATTAAAAAAAAACGGTCGGATTTTTTTTTTTCTCATTATGCACTGCGTGCTCCAGGATTTTTTTTATATGGTGCACACTGACCACACAGACCCATTCTCTCACATGTAGGCCTACCAGCTTTCTCCTGCTTGATTTGAAGCCACTAGAATTTATGAGTATATATACATCAAACACTGTACCTCGTAAGACGTATATATACGACCGAAACAGTCAAAGGGTTAAGATTTAACAATAAATATCCTACATACTATGACATCAGTTTTGCAAGACAGGAGAAAATTTTGGAAGAAAGGTAATACTAATTTAATTACAACATTTATGGAGTTGGTAGAAAAGTAATGCAAGACCCAGAGGAATCAATACATTGAAGTACAAAAACTACAACAATTAAATAGAAAATAAAAATCCAGTAACAATTCTGTAAATATATACACGTACTGTATATTCATGGAGAAGCATTTAAGAAAGAATGATGATACACCACTTGGAGAATGAAAGGAATTTAATTTGAGTAAGAGTATAGCTCCAATTCCTGACATCAAGGGACTTAACCAACATCCATGTACCCCCTTCCTTGTAATAACATTTTGAACTCTAAACTATTTAAATACAGTATGTTTCAATAAAATAGTACATAGGAAAAAAAATGAATAGGTAGGTTATACAGCACTGTGCTGTACTAACACTGAAAACAATGTTAACCACCATACTGCATATACATAAAAGGTGTTACATATGTGGCAGTAAAACTGGCTTACATAAAGAATGGAGAAATTAGTTAGGCCTCACTTTGCCTTAGTGTGGTAATTAAGGAAGTGATGAAGGTCATTATGATTTAAACTGTACATCAAATTTCTCCTTAACACACATAAGCATTTAACATCACAGACAAAAAAAAAAAAAAAAAAAAAAAAAAAAAAAAAAAAAAAAAAAAAAAAAAAAAAAGAGCTTGTCATTCTGTGTGCCTCAACAGTTACTTTATTATGTCACTAAGAGAAGCAGTGAATGAGAAATTTTTTTACTCAAAGATGAGAGTTGATAATTTCAAGTCATGTTGGATGGCAAGACTTGCCAACAAATATGTAAAAGACATGTGCAGAGAGAAAGAACCTTTATTTATGCACAATATTTTGATCTGAGTAGAGCACTATCATAAAGCTCTACTTAGAGAAAATGTAGTTTGTAAATAAAGGCTTGCTCTGTACAGTATCATTTTTAACAATGATCAAGGTGTTACCTGTGGTATTAAGTTTTTCCAAGTTGTTTAGGTATTTACCTCATTATCATCAATTGTCACTGCTGATGATGTAACCTACCATAGATAACATGTGGCAATGTTGAAAGAAGAATCATTAGGCTTAACTGTACAATATGATTTCAAGTTCAGCTGCAAAAGCTTGATATTTCTCAAGAAACTGTTTAAAGCATCAGCAAAAGTGGTAAGCATTACCAGATCATCATCACACCTTACACTGTTAGCACAATATGTTTCTAGGTAGCTGTCTTACCTTTTTCCCAAGCAGAACTGTGTGTCAATATAAACAAGTACAGTAGCCACAAAAAAATCTATACATATCAAATGCAAAAAGAAATCTATACCCTAGATTTTGGTGTATACATTTCACTTGAATTTCTGCCATAAGAAAAGTGGGTGGAGCTTATGGTGGCTTAGTGTACTGGAGCCCGTCTTGCTCCAACGTTCCCCACCGCCCCACACTTCAGTGCTCTTCCAGAGCTCGATGAGGAAGGAGGATTGCTACATTGTTACTCATTGCCCATTTTTTCACTCGACCATGAACTTTGCCACGCTATATCTCTGCTCCAAGTGGTCAGAATGGGTCAAACTAAACTTTCAATTGTAGAAAAGACTCATGCACCCACCCTATTAGAGCAAGGCATGTCTGTGATATCCATAGCCACAGACCTGAAGGTGACTAGGATGGCAATTTACAGCCTAAAAAAAGCAGCTGCCTCACCCCCACCTGGCACCGTACCACCTAGGAAGGTGGAGTCTGGGGCCCCAAAAAAGACTTCTCTTTGCACAGACAAAATCCTGAAGAGGGAAGTGTTTTCAGATCCTGTCATAACAGCTGCAGACCTCAAGAAAAAGTATCCTGCACTTCTGAAAGATGTCGCAGTGCGAACCATTCAGCACCGACAGCAAAAGGACCTGAAAAATGCCTGCTCAATGTGCCGCCAAGAAGCCTATGCTAATTGAAGCCATGAAGAAGAAACGGCTTCAGTTCTGCAAGAAGTACAAGGACTGGACCTCAGACCAGTGGAAGAAGGTGATGTTCAGCAATGAGAGTACCTTCAGGCTCGTTAGGAGCAGCTCTAAGACCGTCAGTCATCCCAGTGGTGTGTCCCGTTATGACCCGCGGTATGCCGTGAAGACAGTGAAGCACCCTGACGGAGTTATGGTCTGCAGTGCTTTTAGTGGTTATAAGGGCAGAGGTGGACTATACTTTCTTCCTAAGAACATTACAATGAAGGGAAGTATAATTATATCAAGGTGTTAAGGGACCACATGCTAACATTTTGGAACATTCACAAGTGTGACTTTTTTTATTCACGAAGGTGCCCCTGCCCATAAGTCAAAAGGAGTGAAAAAGTTCCTCGAGGACAATAATATCAGTGTTTTGGAGTGGCAAGGGAATTCCCGACCTAAATCTTATCAAGAATGCCTGGCATGTGATGAAAAATGGAGGCACTGAATAAGCTTTGGATCAACATGGGTTCCTCCCTCTTCTCCACCCTCACCACTTCGATGCCCAGGCGACTTCAGATGATGATAAAGAACATTGGTAACATGACCAAGTACTAGTTGGATGCTAAAAAGTGAAAATAAAATACATGTGCATACATTAAGTTGCATTTTCCGTTTTATTGTCCAAAAATTGTTAATGTATAGATTTTTTTGCAGCCACTGTATAGCGAGAGTCTGCTTCCTTGCTGTATTCCATTTACATATACCACAAGTAGTTATACCAACTGCACTATAAATCCTTGTTGAACATTACAAAATACGTACTAATAGGTTCATGGTATGGATTGTTATCATGCATTTTATTACATAGCAAGTACTCTCAGAGCAATAATCACAACGTATTTAATATCCTTGCTTGGCCAGTAATATAAAGTCAATGACTTAACTCACAAGTTCGAAAAAAAAAAAAAAGAAAGACACCAGAGACAAACACAAGGACATTACTTGTTTCATTATAGTTGTCAAGAGGGCAAATACAATACAATGCTAATAAAACTGAAGGTATAATAAATGAAACAGGCTTACAATACTAAATACTTATCATTCATCCAATGCTTCAGGATCAAGTGACGATGCACAGTCAATATCATCCTCTATTCGATCTTCATATATAATGGGCCATAAAGTCTCATTATAATTTACGTCTGTAAAATCTAACAGAACACCCTTCCACTTTATGACTTGTTTTCTTGAAATAATCTCCTCTTCTTGGGAAAAATGCAAGATAATTTGCAACACTAACAATAGTTTAAATGATACTTTAAGCTCTATACTCATCTTAAGAGTTTAAATTTAAATTCACAATACCCCACAAAAATCCAGATTCCATATATGGTACAATACAGTAGTGAATACTGCACTGAAGACTATTACGTAGCTATGAAATATTAGAACAGTACAAGCATAATGTTCAAGACCACAGACTCTATAAAATTTTCACACCAATGTGGATGAGTGGTGACTACTAAAGATTCAATACTCAAATGGCCATGTACATTGGCCTTATTATCAGCCATTAACATTTATCTACACCCTTCAGTCTGCAGATAAAAGATACAGAAAAATGCTTACAAGAAAGGAATTGATTAATATTAAGTACTGTAATAATTAATAATAATTATTATTAATGTATAATAATTGTTATTATACAGAATAAAAAAGGATGCATTTTACTGAAGCTGTATAGCCCTTGTGGCTTAGCGCTTCTTTTTGATTATAATAATAATTTACTGAACCTCCCAAGGACAGAGATAGCTGATATCACTGTAGTGCTCACCCTATAGCACATGTAAGAATAATTACTATACATTCTGCAACTCATTAAAATGTAGAAAAATCTTCAAAATGCATGATAATAATTTATGTGCTAAAAATGAAGTGGAATAAATCATTCCAGTAAAATGTTTTACTGAAATGAAATTCCTTTAACCACATTTTAAAAGGCACAGACCATGAGCCATATCTTTCTTGCAACAGATTCCTCATGAACAACCACCTTTTTATGGTGGGAAGAAAAGGTGAGGCTGTGTATACCCAGTTATACTCCTTTGTACAAATATGTATCATGCTAAAATAAAATTACTATTATTATTGGTCATCATTTTCATTTACAGAATGGGGTCACCGAAGAGTTGCCTGATACTGGATAATTGGATATCTAAGCTGAGATATATGTATCTGGGAAAGGCGGGGATCTCTAAATTAGTGTGCAAACGTTCAAATCACTGGACTTGACAGATTTCAGTTTGAACTGCACATTAGGTTAGTTTTGTTGTGCAAATGGGAAGAAATGTAACCTAACACAACCCACCTAACAACCTAAAATAACCTAATGTCACTTAACCTTACTCCACCATCGGTCTTTGGTTACGTCCATTGTCTTTGTTTAGGTTTGCTGTGACTGGCTAGGCTGCAATACTAAGCAGTGACTGGCTCTTATGTGCCACTTCTGCTCCAATTTTTTTTTATTTTCACTATCTCCCAAAATAACAATCTGTTCAAGAAATAAATGTTTATTCTGTGGTTTAGAGTGCTTGTGAAAATGTAATATATAAAATAATATCTGATTTCTGCCAAAGAGCAGACATCAGTCATATCCCTAATCTGTAATTTTATTAACCCTTTCAGGGTCCGTGCCGTAGATCTACGGCTTTACGTTCAGGGTCCAAACCGTAGATCTACACCATAAGCTCAGCTCACTCTGATAAGCTGTGAGTGGTAAATTTGGGCCTAGATATGAGAGAATACATCTATTTGGTATGTGTGCACCACATAAAACGAATCCTGCAACACACAGTGTATAATGAGAGCAAAAAACTGAGACCGTGATTTTCGATTAAAACAGCGACTTTGCAGTGTTTTTTCGTATGTTTTTTATAGTTGTATTTGCGATTTCTTGGTCTCATTTGATAGAATGGAAGACATATTACAGAAATAGAGATGATTTTGATTGGTTTTAGCACTGGAAATGGCTTGAAACTGAGCTCAAAGTAGCGGAAATGTTAAATTTTTGCCGATGTTCAAGAGTCAACAAACGACCTCACACATCTAATACTCGCCAACTGGTGGGTCTAATATACATTCACAAATGTGGTGATGATATTTATACAATTATTACAATATTGCATAACAGTAAATCTTCTATTTTTTGGTTTGAATGTGAATAAAAAATCAAAATGGATTAATTTGTAAAGCCTCAAAATGTAACCAATGAACAGAGGAAATGTTAGTTTAGTGCCAGGAATACCTACATTGTTTATTCTGGACCCTATTTTGAAATTGGAATATTTTGAACTTTGTGTTAAATTGGCCAAATTAAGTAAGTAAGTAAGTTTATTCAGGTATACACAAACACAGTTACATAGAATTATCATACATAGCAGCATATGTGTAGAGATCCTAGGATAACCCAAAAAAGTCAGACAGAGTGACTTATTTCCATTGGGGTCCTTTTACCTTATTATTATTTATTTATTTATTTATTTATTTATTTCCAATTTGTGCACACATACAGAGGTACAAAAAAAATACAGATAAGAGCAGTATGCCAAAGCCACTTATACTATGCATAGCATTACGGGCTGGCTTAAAATTAACTTAAGATTAACTAAGCAATGATTATTATTATTATTATAATCAAAAAGAAGCGCTAAGCCACAAGGACTATACAGCGCTGCTACTAAGCAATGATGAAATCAGTGATAAAACATTAATGTAAACAGATAACTATAAAGCACAAGTGAGTATTACAAAGACAGGTCATATGGTTGCATTCAGTTAGGTAGTGATTCTGTTAGGTAGTGTATTTAAAAAATAATAAAGTTAGATTGGGTTTTAGGTTTAACATTTATGTGATATAATTGTGAGAAACATTTAAGATATACAATTTATAATGTTCAGTTATTCAGTATTTATTTGGTTTTGGGTGAGTAAGTAATCTTTGAGAAGAGACTTGAATTTATAAACAGGTTGTGTTTCTTTTATATTTACAGGTAATGAATTCCAGATTTTAGGGCCTTTTATGTGCATTGAGTTTTTGCATAGTGTGAGATGGACACGAGGAACATCAAAGAGTGATCTGTGCCTTGTGTTATGGTCATGTGTTCTGTTGAGGTTGGCAAGGAGATGTTTGAGGGGAGGGTTAATATCAGAGTTAAGTGTTCTATGTATGTAATAGGTGCAGTAATAAGTATGGATGTTTTGTATGGTGAGTAGGTTTAGTGTATTGAATATTGGTGGAGTGTGCTGCCTGTAGTGAGAATTTGTTATCATTCTAACTGCAGCCTTTTGTTGGGTAATTAGTGGTCTGAGATGGTTAATTGTTGTTGAGCCCCATGCACAAATTCCATAGGTGAGATAGGGGTAAATAAGAGAGTGATATAGGGCCAGGAGGGCTGACTGTGGAACATAGTACCGTATCTTCGATAGTATGCCTACAGTCTTGGAAATTTTCTTAGAAATTTGATGTATATGTGTATGAAATTTGAGTCTATTATCAAGGTGGATTCCTAAGAATTTTCCCTCTGTTAGTTTTGTGATAGGTGATCCATTTATCATTATGTTAAGAGGGACATCTGTAGCTCTGTTACCAAACTGAATGAAGTAGGTTTTGTCAATGTTTAGTGTAAGTTTGTTAGTCCTCATCCAGGTAGATATTTTCTGTAATTCGGTATTTACAGTATTGGCTAGCGTGACTGGGCTCGGGTGAGAGAAGACGTATGTAGTGTCATCTGCAAATAGTGTGGGTTTGAGTAATTGCGAAGCATTTGGAAGGTCATTTATGTATAGGAGAAAGAGAAGAGGGCCAAGGACACTTCCCTGTGGGACACCAACTGTAATTGGTTGTGCAGAAGAGTTTGCCCCATTTGCGTACACATATTGGCTTCTGTTGCTGAGGTAAGACTTGAGGTAGTTGAGGGAGTGCCCTCTTATACCATAGTGTGACAATTTTACGTGGAGCAAGTCATGGTCAACTGTATCAAAAGCTTTACGTAAGTCAATGAAGATCCCCAGTGGGACTTCTTTTTTCTCTATTGCAGTGTATATATGTTCTAGCATGTGTATAATAGCATCATTAGTATTTTTATTAGGCCTGAATCCAAATTGGCAGGGGTTGAGTATGTTTTGGGAGATAAGGTAGGAGTAGATTCGTTTATGAATTAATTTTTCGAAGATTTTTGAGAGAGGGTGTAAGTTGGATATTGGCCTATAGTTATTCAACTCTGTTTGGTCTCCTCCTTTGTGGATCGGGGTGACCCTTGCTATTTTGAGTACTGTAGGGAAGGTGGAGGATTCAATGGATTTGTTAAAGAGTGTTGCAATGATTGGTGATAGCACTTGTGACACTTTTTGTATATAAGGGGTGGTAAGGTATTTAAATCTCCTGCCTTGTTTTTAGTGCGTTGATAATAAGGGAGACTTCGTATGGGTTAGTCGGAGCTAGGAACAGTGTGTTCGGGTAGTTGCCGGTGAGGCAGTCATTTGGTGGGGTATCTGAGCTTGGGATTTTATTGGCAAGGTTTTGTCCTATAGTGGAGAAGAAATCATTGAGTCTGTTTGCTGTTTCTGTTGGTGGGAGTTGGGGTTCATCTGTTTTTGCTAATTTTATTTCGCTATTTCGTGATATCTTTTTTGTTCCCAGAATTTCTGATAGGGTTTTCCAGGTCTTTTTATATCACCTCGTAAGTTGGATAATCTGTTCTCATAATACAATTTTTTTTGCCCTTCTTATCAGGCTGGTTAGGATTGACGAGTAACGTTTTGTTTGGTCTCTGGTTATGTGACCCATTCTGTACTGTTTTTCATATTGGTGTTTTGTATTTATGGATTTGAGAATGCTGGGTGTTAGCCAGGGACTGTTCAGTCTCTTTGCTGTCATCTGTTTAGTTTTTTTAGGGCAGTGCTTGTTATAGAGGTATTGGGTTTTTTTTTAGAAAATTATTAATACATTCGTCAATATCTGTATAGGTTTCTAGCTCAGTGTGCCAATCAATGTTTGCTATTGCTGTTGTGAAGTTATTAATGGCTGCCTCATTGTGAAGTCTGAAGGTGACTTTAGTAGTGTCTTGGGTAGTTTACCAAGAGTTGTTATGAGGAAAGTAGGGTAGTGGTCTGTGGTATTATCTGTAATTATGCCTGATTTTAAAGGGGATATGGTGTTGGTCCAGATGTGGTCAAGTAGGGAAACACTAGTCTCTGTAACTCTTGTAGGTTTTGTTACTGTTGGTAGTAACATACAGTTACTCATTGTGTTTGTGAATTCAGTAACGTGTGGGTCCTGGTCTTGCAGGAGATTTATATTGAAGTCACCTGAGAGTAGTAAGTGATCTTTGTTCATGCGTGCATCAGTTATCATACTTCCTAGATTTTGACTAAATTGGCTAATGTTTGACTGTGGAACTCTGTAGATGTTTATCAATGTGAGAGGTTTTTGTAGGTACTTTGATTTGAATTTAGCTATTATATATTCCCCATGTTCATCCCTTGTGC